TCATCTTTCATCTCCATCAACTCTGAAACTGGGAACTTGTTTGCCATTTGATCTATAGATTATGAGGATATACAGGATTTCCAGTTAACAGTGAGGGCTGTAGACAAGGGCTCACCTCCCTTGAGCTCAGAAACGATGGTCCGAGTTCTTATCATGGATGAAAACGACAATGCCCCCTTTATCCTCTGCCCTCTTCAGAACAGCACTTCTCCATCAAATGATCTGGTTCCCAGGGGAGCAGAGACAGGCTACTTAGTCACCAAAGTGGTGGCAGTGGACAGAGATTCAGGGCAGAATTCTTGGCTTTCCTATCAATTGCTGAAGGCCACAGATCTGAGTCTCTTCACTGTTGGGACTCAGAATGGGGAGGTGAAAACCATGAGGTCAGTGAACATCTGAGACAGTTTCAAACACACTCTTATTGCGGCAATTAGGGATAATGGGCATCCTCCTCAGTCTGCCTTTGCGACCCTAAGAATTCTTCTAGTGGACAGCTTCTCTGATTCTTACATGAAAATTATGGATAATCCTAAGAGTGATGTCCCGCAGGAGGGAGATCATACTCTAACACTGTATTTGATTATCTGTTTGGTTGCCATCTCATCCGTTTTTCTGCTTTCTGTCATGGTGTTTATTACAACCAAGTTTCAGAAGTGAAGGAAGTTCATAGGAAGTTCTCATTCTGCATTGAATTTCTCCGTGGAGCAAAATGTACAAGGAAACTGTGGAGATCATATTTCTGATACATATTGTCAGGCCTACAATTATGAAGTATGTTTGGTGGGTCTTTAAATAATGAGTTCAGATTTCTCAGGCCAATATTCCCTATTTTTTCAATGGATCCAAGGAATTCAACAGACTCTCAGGATACCAAAACTCATGTCAAGGAAAATGAACTGATGTCTCAGGTAAGTATAATGTTAAACCTTTCCAACAGTTTTTTATCTTAAATTTCTAATATTTCATTATTTAAAGATGCCATAGGGACCAGCTTTTCTAAAGTTAATTTTAAAAAAGTTGTGTCCATGGATAGACTGTATTGTTATGCATTTATTTCTGAATAAATCCTTTTGTTTTGCTTACTTTTTTAAAATTTCCTTTGGGTTTTTTTCTCACTATTTTTCTGTAGTCGTCTTTTGTAATGTTCATTTTTGCCCATCATTTGAAGAAGTCAAAATCGTCTTCCCTATTTAAGGTAGAGAATTTTCATATGTTTCTTTGAGTCTCAGAAAGGCTGGAAAGAACTGCAGCTGAAAGGAAAGTTAAAGGCTTTGAATAAAAAAACCTTTCACTTTAGAAAGAATCCCTCCTATGTTCTCTTCCTCACTTATGCATTGATGGTCAGGATATATATTCCATTTCACATTATTTTCTGGTTAAAATAGAAAAAAGGCATCTAAATGTCAGTATATTGTGGGATATGAAATTGGGAAGGCAGGTGTTCCAATTAAAGCTGGATTCCCTGCAAATGCTATTCTCATATTAATAATTGTTGTTATGATGTTACAATATTTTATTTGAAAATACACAGGCATTCTTAAACAGGTGGGCAATATGGGTATACTGATCATGATTCGAGAGCTTTTAGATGCTGATCACATGAACATCTTTATACATCTTATACAAAGAGCTGAATGAATACAATCTGCACATATTGGCCCAAAAAACTCACAAAAGTTTTTGCCTAGCAAAATGAAAGCCCAGTGTGTAAACTGGTGTCCCCCACCACTTCAGAGAAGGACTTTGAAGGAGCACTTTGTAAAATCTCCAGCTTTAAACAAAATCTTCCATTTGCTTTTAACATGCAGTAGAAAAACAGACTTACATAACTCACTAATCCTTGTTAGTGCCATCATTCAAATGGTGTCACACAACTGAAGACTTTGCATATTCAGTGCTACCAATGCACAGGTATAGAATAGCGATACCTGGCTCAATAGTAGTAAGTGCAAGAGAACTTTTGGACACCTAGTGGACAATCACTTAAATATTAGCTAGCAGTGTGCTGCAGCCATCAAAAAAGCCAAAGCAATTCTAAGGCTGCATTATCAGAGCAACAGGATAGGATAGGATAGGATAGGATAGGATAGGATAGGATAGGATAGGATAGGATAGGATAGGATAGGATAGGTAAACTGGAATCAAGACCAAGTGAAATGTTAATACCACTTTATAATGCTTTGGTAAGAGCACACTTGGGATATTGCATTCAGTTTTGGTCACCACAATATAAAAAAAGTGTTGAGACTTTAGAAGAAGTGCAAAGAAGAACAACAGAAGATGATTAGGGTACTGGAGGCTAAAACATACGAAGAATGGTTGTGGGAATTGAGTATATCTAGTTTAATGAAAGAGTAGGGAGTAGGGGTGTAGGGAATAGGAGTAGGGGTGATAGGATAGAAGTGTTCCAATTTCTAAGGGCTGCCACCAGTGGTGGGGTTGCTCCCGGTTCGGTCCGGTTCTACCGAATAGGTAGTAACTTTAGGAAGTAGTTCTCCGAACTGGTAGTAACGGCAGCCAGGCCACACCCCCGAACCAGTTCCCCGGTCACTGCTTGCTCACCCACCTGAAGCTGGCCAGAGCAAAGAAGCCTCTCAGCCGCCTGGCCGCAGGGTGCCGAAAAGTCCTTCAGCCGGTGAGAAGAAAGCTGCGTATGCACAAAGATGGCGGCAGCGACCGGAGGTCTTTCCGGTGCTGTGTGCCAGTGGCTGGGTGGAAAAGAAGCCTCTCGGCTTCCATGTTCAACAGCAGGCTCAGTCCCTTCGCACAGGCTCACTTTTCTCCACGCCGGAGAAGGATCAAAAGGCGCGGAGCAGCCTTTAATTACAAAGTTGCCTAGATGAGGTAAAAGAAAGGGAAGGAGCCCACCGAAGCTGACGGTGTTGCAGCCGCCCCCCACTCCCCACAGCTTGGAGCGCCAAGCGGAAGAAGTCCTCGGCTGTTGTGAAGAAGCGGCAGCTCTGAGTGCGCTATGCCCACTTCTTTCTCTTTGAGAGATGCTTTGCAAACAAGGTGCAAAGCGGCTCTCAAAGAGAATGAAGCAGGCGTGGCGCACCCAGAGCTGCCGCTTCTTTGCAACAGCCGAGGACAGAAGAGTTCGCTCAGGAGCGACACCAGCGACACCAGCAAGGAAGGCGGCTGGGAGGGAGGTGTAGCCTGAACTCTCTAGAATGGCTAAGCAAGTGTGGGGAGGTGAAGGGGAGTGGACTTGGCCCTCTGCATGTTGCATCCCCCTCCCAGCCTTCGCCCGCGCCTCCGTGCCACCACCGTCTCCTGAAGCTGCTGCCGTTGGAGCCGCGACAGGGATGGGGATAGCCCAGTAAGCTGGGTCCCCCAAAGTGGTGTGGAGGCGCGGGGGGAAGGCTGGGAGGCAGTGCAACACGCGGGAGGCTCCCCGCAGTTCCTTGGCTCATCTGGGCTACAACTGAGTCCGCTGCCCTGAGGTGGCGGAGTGGGTTGCTCCGGCTGCAACCACAAGAAAGGCCCGTCAGAGGTGAGAAGGGGTGCTTTTCAGCCAGGAAGGGCAACGGAGGGAAAGCCGAGACGACCACCGCCACCCCATGCGTCCTGACCTGGATATGGGGCCAGAGTGTCAAAAAAAAGTTTCAAAAAGTCCCAAAAATTTTAGCCACCTTTTTGGTGGGCGTGGCTTGGGGGGGGTCATGTAACTGAGTGCGTGAGTGACATCACGTTGGCCATGCACAATCAGTCACGCCCCCCACCTAGCCACACCCACCGAACCGGTAGTAAAAAAATTTAGAACCCACCCCTGGCTGCCACAAAGAAGAGAGAGTCAACTTATTCTCCAAAGCACCAGAAAGCAGGACAAGAAGCAATGGATGGAATCTAATCAAGGAGAGAAACCAACCTAGAAACTAAGGAGAAATTTCTGACAGAAAAACTAATCAGTGAAACAACTTACCTACAGAAATTGTGGGTGCTCTAACACTGGAGGTTTTTATGAAGAAATTGGACGCCCATTTTTCTGAAATGATACTTCCTGCTTCAGCAGGGGATGGACTAGAAGACTTCCAACGTCCCTTCCAACTGTGTTATTCTGTTGTGTAGATAAAGAAATGTCAGTACATCATAATATATACATTTCCTAGAAAATTGCATTATCATTAGAGTGACATCAGACTTTGGTTTTATCAACAGCCTTCCTCCGCATTCTAGTGGATGGCAAAATCTTAGATCTTTGCTTTTCAGTATAAATAAATATTTCCATCTACCAAGTTGAAGCTATCAACTTCAATTCACTCCTAATATGTTTATCATCATGTAAAGGAAAATAAATTATTTAGCCAGGTCCAATACTGTTTTTAACATTAAAAATCTAATAATACAATTTAATAAGGATTCCCTACAGTTACATACCGAGTGGATTTTATTCATATTTTTCTGTGACTGAAATTAGTTAAATCTAAATGGAGATGATTAACATAGATCCTTTCCTCTTATTGTTCTGTTCTGATATAATTTAAACAATTTATTTCTGGGCACCCTCAGGGAAAATTATATTGCAATGCTAGAGTTGTATCCCCTTCTCTCAATGTGCTGTTGAACAATAATATTTTTTGTGGATTAGGTAACTGGAATCTCACCAACCTTAAGAGCCATCATTTCCTGTGGAATCTTCATATTTCGAACAGGTAGAGAGTCTTCAAAACTATGATTTATTGCCTTTAACAGTAAAGGCCTTTATTGCCTTTAGAAGAGTGGATTCCTCAGACAGCCACATGATGGCAGAATAGGCAAACATATTACTGGGAACTCGGAATTTTGGTGTGAGCCGAAAAGAACAAAAAATTACGACTAGGGTTCTGCAAGAAGACAAGAAGATTTTAACCAATGAAAAGATGAAAGCTGTGAGGTAAAGCAGCAGGAAATTAGTTCTTTGTGAGAGACAAAAACTGGATGAAAGTAAGGAGATTTATATTCTGTTCAAGAATTAAGGAGAGTCCTGAATCATGGAACAATGCATTAGGAGTAAACAAGGTATGTATCTTTTTTGGTTGCTTTGTCTTCCTAAAGCATTATGTATTTCAATCTACTATTCTTCACCTGAAGAAACCAACAGTGGTTCTAAAGTGGCTAATGTGTTGAAGGATTTGAAACTGGAAGAACAGGAATTCATTGATCGCAGAGCCCATCTCATTTCTGAAAGCACTAAGCAGTATTTCTCCCTTGATATTCATACTGGGGATATATTGATAAATGATAAAGTAGACCGGGACATTCTGTGTAGCCAGACAGATCCTTGCATACTTACATCTCAAATTGTGCTTGACAACCCTTTGGAATCATACAATATTGAAATAGTAATAGAAGACATAAATGACAATGCTCCCAAATTCTCTAAAAATGAATTTGAGATAAAAATTCCTGAGAATATTCCTACAAATATGGCACTTCCCTTAGAATCTGCAGATGATAAGGATCTAGGAGAAAACAGCATCCAAAACTATACACTCAGCACCAATGAATATTTTTGGCTTCATGTGCAAAGGAACAAAGACGGAATTAACAATGTGGATCTTGTTCTAAAGAGATCACTAGATAGAGAAAAGGTGCCACATCTCAATATCACCCTAATGGCTGTTGATGGTGGGGTACCACAGAACACAGGCACTGTTCAAATTAACATTGATATTCTGGACATAAATGATAACCCTCCTCAATTTTCCCAATCTGAATATAAGGTAAAAATAAAGGAAAACCTTCCTACAGGCACTGTGGTGGCTAAAGTGGAAGCTACAGATCTTGATTTGGGTTTAAATGCACAAGTCACCTATTCATTCCATAGAACACCTGAAAGAATAAACAGTTTGTTCCTTTTAAATGAAAGATCTGGAGAAATCACTCTTAGGGGACAGATTGATTATGAAAAAGAAAGGAGTTATAGCATAAATATCAGAGCAACAGATGGAGGAGGACTTTCGGGGCACTGCAAGATACTTATAGAGGTTGAAGATGTCAATGACAATGCCCCAGAAGTGTCCATTCTATCTCTGACCAGCAGCTTAAAGGAGGATTCGGCTTTGGAGAAGGTGGTGGCCCTCTTCAGTCTTAAAGACCAAGACTCTGGAGACAACAGCAAAATGGTCTGCTCCATAGAGATGAATCTCCCTTTTGTGTTGAAAGCCACCACAAACAACTTTTATCAGCTTGTGCTCCAAAGTCCCCTAGATAGAGAAAGAGTCTCTGAGTACAACATCACTATCACTGCCATTGACTGGGGATCTCCTAGGCTCACTTCAACAAGATTGATTAATGTTCAGATCTCTGATGTCAATGATAATCCTCCCCTTTTTGAAAAGTCTTCATATGACATGCAGATCAGGGAGAATAATATTCCAGGCTTCCTCATTGGCTCAGTCCACGCTCTGGATCTGGACACAATGCTGAATGCTAAAGTGACTTACTTAGTTCTGCCTGGGAAGGGTGATGGCCTGGTGACCCCTTACATCTCAGTTAACTCTGAAACTGGAAACATGTATGCTCTCCGATCCCTGGACTATGAACAGATAAGAGGCTTCAGTATTACTGTGAGGGCATCTGATGGTGGTTCTCCTTCCTTGAGCTCAGAAGTGATTGTTCGAATCCACATCATAGATGAGAACGACAACGCTCCCTTCTTCCTGTATCCCCTTCAGAACAACACATCCCCATGCAATGAGCTGCTTCCCAAGTCAGCCGAGGCTGGCTATCTGATCACCAAGGTGGTTGCAGTGGACGCAGATTCTGGCCAAAACTCTTGGCTTTCCTATGAATTGCTGAAGGCCACAGATCCAGCCCTTTTCAGCATAGGAGTACAGAATGGGGAAGTGAAAACGAGGAGAGCCCTGAATGAGCGAGACACAAACAAGCAGAGGCTGGTGATACTGGTCAGAGACAATGGTCTCCCTCCACAGACCAGCACGGCATTGCTTAATGTTCTTCTTGTGGATGGCTTTTCGGATCCCTTCCTAAGGAGGGTGGATGTCAGTGTACAAGAACCGGAAGAAGATAAAACCTTGACCAAGTATTTGGTGATCTGCTTGGCTGCAGTCTCCTTTGTGTTCCTGGTCTGTATTGTTGTGCTTATTGTGGTCAAAGTGTTCAAGAAGGACCCCCAAAGCCAATTTCCTACTACTCATCCTCACTTCCCACCTGCCAATTCTGATATTCCAGAAAACTGTGCTGATCCACAGACCGGATCTCTTTCAAAGACTTATCATTATGATGTTCGTTTGACTGGTGGATCCTTAAGTAGCGAGTTCCATTTTCTCAGGCCTCTCTTTCCAGTGTTTTCGGTGGGAGATGTAAATATTCCTGGGTACCACAAGAATTCTGGCTGTGAAGATATCTCTGAGCAGGGTGCAGATAGCCAATTACACTAACAAGTGAGTTACCTTTAAGTATTTATATATTTTTTCATATTATTTCACAAAGACTTTTTTCTCTTGTTTTGAAAACTAATTTGGAGGCTGGAATTTGACAATGTGTTGAATCTTTTACTGATGTTACTTTTGCTCCAAAGTTATATGAAAAAGATACGGCTTGCCCAATAATAATCTGCAGTCCTAATAAATATTATGACCATTGCTTGTAAATCCCTGGCACTGACATTGTCTGCATGAAGCCCAACTCTAGACAATGATTATTCTGCTTACTCCATTTCTATTGTCTGTGATTAGACTAGTGTCAACTCGCAAAGCTTCTCTAGCCTGCTCCTGAATTGCCATAGGCAGGGTGATGGGGAACTGAGCCTTGCAGCTGCATAGAGGAATTTGCACCTCAGTCGAAACAATGTACATCCTAGCTGGACAAAGTCAAGGCCATCTCCACAGAAAACAGTAATGGCTGGAGGGAATGACTTCTATGACCCGCAAAATTGCTTCGTTGGGGAATGTGACTAATGATTTTGGGGCGTGGTTGGGTGGGGGAAACAGGGTCAGAAGCAGGGTGCAAACTGAGTGGGGTCAGAGCTGGCTTCACTTGGTCCATGCCGACATGATGCTCCTAATAAACAACTGGATTTTTCTTGAAACTTTGCTTGAGGCTTCTGATTTTATTAGGGCATCGGTCGGAACCCTGACAACTAGTTCAGTAGATGAACTAATCCATTTCAAAGATCAACTTCGGAGACTACAGTTGGTCCAGAACGCAGCGGTGCGAGCTGTCGTGGGTGCACCTAGGTACACCCACATTACACCAATTCTCTGCGAGCTGCACTGGCTCCCTATTTACCGGTCACAATTCAAGGTGTTGGTTATTACCTTTAAAGCCTACATGGCTCAGGGCCAGGTTATCTTCGAGACCGCCTTCTGCCGCATAGCTCCCAGTGACCGGTAAGATCCCACAGAGTTGGTCTCCTCCAGGTCCCGTCAGCTAAACAATGTCGGCTGGCGAGCCCACGGGGGAGGGCCTTCTCTGTGGCTGCCCCAGTTCTCTGGAACCAGTTACCTCCTGAGGTCCAGACCATCCCCACCCTATTGGCCTTCCAAAAAGCAGTGAAGACCTGGCTTTTCCAGCAGGCCTGGGGCTGTTGATCTCGCTCTTGTGATCTGGCAAGATCCAGCCATGAATGGTGTGAATGAGTTTTTAATGTTTTTAATGTTTTTAATTTTTCAATCTTTTTATAATGATTTTTTAAATGTATTGTGAGCCGCCCTGAGTCTTTGGAGAGGGGCGGCATATAAATTTAATTAATTAAATTAAATTAATTAATTAAACTGAACTATTTCAAAGCATTTCTTTCTGCAGGCTTCCTGTCAGTACTGTAAGGTTTGGTTTGCACAACTTGCTAAATTAAGGTAACATGAAATAAAATAATTTGAATTCAACATAAAATAGGAACCAATCATCATCACTGTTTTGTTTGAATCAGGCCATCGTATTAAGCCACATTTGAGTATAGTCATTTGGGTGAACACAGCACGTATTTGTAGTTTAGTTAGTTAAGAATTTAGTATATTGTATGAACTTAGCCATCATGTGTGCAGAAAAATATTCCTTATATACGAATTAAGTATTTGCACTGTGTACCACTATCATCTTTCTCGATGTTCCCACTATCTTTTTCACTAATTGTTTTTTAATTAGGGATGAAGTAAAGGAGTTGACTTATTCAGGATACCTAATGACATTTTAAAAAAGGAAGTGCATAGTAGAGCTGATCTGAAATAAGTATCCTTTTAATTTTTCAAGGTTCAATGATTAAGGGCATGGAAGTGATTTGAAGATAGAGGAGATCAGCTGCAATAGAATAATAATTGCATGTTGTTATACAGCAAAGTCTGGATGCTTTTTTATCTATTTAAAAATAAATTTTAGTTAAAAGAAAGTAAAAATAAAGTGATGAAGGGAATGGAGCATCTGCATTTTAAATCAGGCTGGCAATGATACCAGGAGTATTATGTATGGATCAGGGGTGGGTTCTAAAATTTTTTACTACCAGTTCTGTGAGCGTGGCTTAATTAGTGGGTGGGGCTTGGTGGTAAGGTGACTGGGAGGGCGTGGCTTGTTGGTCAGGTGGGTGTGGCCAAGTCAATGTCACTTCTTTGCCCTTTTTTAACCTACAAAACACAACACAACACAACTGGCTCACCAGTTGTGTTGCTCACCAGTAAAAGAAAAAGTTTTTTTCTTTTACATGGCTCTGGCGATCCAACCTGAGTTGCCTGATTAGCAGGCAACTCAGCTGGGATCGACAGAGCTTGGCTCGTCAGAGCTGGTCTGAACCGGGAGCATTTCACCCCTGAGTAGTCACCAATCCCAGTCTTAAAATGAGTTTAGAATCAGTGGGAGTCACTGATAACAATGAACTAACTACCTACTGATAATGAGTCCAGTTCTGCCTTTCTTTTCCTTCTGTCCAAGTTTTGCAAGTACTTTTTCCAGGTATATGTTTTATTCCAAAGTATACAAACCATTATTATTAGGGAAAAAATGGGTCTTCCAAGCAATTTTAAAAGACACTGTCAGAATGACTCTGCTCTCAGCCCTCCTTGTGGCTCCTTGAAAAGCATCCCCCCCCCACATATGTAAATGAAAAGAATAAGCTTAAAAATCCTAGCCTTTTAAAATTGAAAATATGGAGAATTGGGAGGATGAATATGAGACACTAAGGGAGATGTTTCAAAAAGTAAGGGAGGCATTTAAGGGAAATAAATAAGCAGAGAATTGGTTAGCTTGCAAAAAAAAGAAAGAGAAAAGATGAATGAGAAGCAAGAGAAACAAGGAGATAATATTGAAAAGGAAATAACTGAAAAAAAAGATAAAGATGATTACACTGGATTCAATAGAAAAATGGAATAAGATGAAATATACTACTAATAATTAAAAATATGAGGGGAAATTTTGAGAAATATACTTGATATATGAAAGAAAGACTGGGGACTCCATAGTGGAAAATATAAAATTGAAAATGAATACAGAAATAGAGAGGGATGAAGGAAGGAGAAGAGAGATGGAAGAAGGAAGGAGAGAGAGGGAAGGAAGAGAAGGGAGGAAGGAAGGGAAGGGAAATTAGAGTAGGAGTGAGGGTAAGAGAGGGAGGAAGAGAGGAGGAGAAGGAGAAAGGAAGAGGAAGTAGGGAGGAAAAGAAGGGGGGAAGGAGAAAGTAAGAAGGAAAAAAAAGAGAGAGGTGGTAGGTTTGAGGAGAAAGATTGCTGTACAATAAAAAAGATGAAATGGAAGAAAGGCAACCCCAAACAAATATAAAGATATTAAGATAAAAATGAATTGTTAAACTTTAAAGAATAAAAGAGAACAAATATGGATAAATAGCAATAATTAGAAACACACATACAAACATACAATGTATTTCTTTGAACAGAGTACTTGGCCGGTTCACAAATTTAAACAGTGTTTAGTCATTTCAATTAAATTTACAATTTCTATATTTCCTTTTTGCCATATTTATTCCTCATCTATTTTTTTAAAAAAACAATATTACCCTTCATCCTCATCTCTAATCTTAATCAAATTCAATTTTTCCCTTCTATTCTATATTATACCCCTTCCCATTGTCATCTATTTTTATATCCATCCTCACATTGGTTAATTATGTAATATTACAGTTGTTTAATACAAATTCAACATTTTAATATAAAACAATTAGTTATATAACTATCTTTTTTGTATATTAATCAATATGAACATGAATATTCCTATTATTTCCATGCAATCCAATTTCTTACAAATCAATTAATTATATTTACCCATAATAATAAACCAAATAATTTCCCCCATATATTCCTCCAAACCACAACTTAACCATTTCTGCTTTCAACACAATATACAATTAATAGTATCTCAATTATTACAATTCCCTAGTTAAATAGAGCTTTTTTTTCTTTTGTGTTTTAAAATCTTGAACTCTCCTCTTTTGCCCTAAATTTCCCATTGTTTGCACCTACCTTTTTTGGTGAGGAAAAAGAAAAGAAATCTGCCTCTGCCTAATTTTCCAACGTTGCAGCAAACAGCAAAGCCAACAGCCTACTTTACTTTCAGTTTCGTTTTCAGCTTGATTTACACAAGGAGAAAAAAAATCTGCTCTAGCAATTTAGCTCTTTGCAGCAAGCAGCAGAGCCCTGCGCAAAAAGCTGAGAGCAAATCAGCTGAGAGTTGGGAAGCCGATCTACTCAACGGGCTAATTAGCCTATGCTGAAGCTGAAAGGAGTTGTTTTTTCTTGCTGTTTGCTTGCAAGGAGGTAACTGCACAGGCCAAAGGGTGGGGGCCACCCTTCTTGCCATTTAGCACTCCCCTGCTGCTCCCTTTTGCCTCTAGCGCCCCCCTGCTGCCCCCCTTGCCTCTTACCACCCCCCCCAAGTCATCCCAACGCCACCCAGGGGGCAGTACCGCCCACTTTGGGAACCACTGGTCTATTCATTCGTTTTCTTTTAACACTGATCAGCTGTAGGGTGGCCCTTTGAAGCCCCGCAGCAAGAATTTAAACAATTTTTTCCCCTCTAGCCGATCAGCTGGGACTCAGGAGGCAGCAATAGATTGGGGGTGGGCCAAATAAAAGGTAAGAATAAGGGGGCAGGGGGGCGGGGGGCCCCAGAACCGGTTCGTTATGTCATATCGTTACTGCTACCGGTTCGGCAGAACCGGGCCAAACCGGGAGGAACCCACCACTGGTGTGGATGTGGTGGATGCATCAGGGATATCAGCCTGACTAGGTGGCTCAGTGGCTAAGACACTGAGCTTGTCGATCAGAAAGGTTGACAGTTTGGTGGTTTGAATTCCTAGTACAGGTCTCCTGCGTGAGCAGGGGATTGGACTAAATGATCTCCAAGGTCCCTTCCAACTCTGTTACTGTTACTATGTATGTATATATTGAAATCAAATACAGCATGCATACATACATACAGACAGACAGACAGACATACCGTA